TTCTTTACCATCTGAACCACCAGGGAAGCCCAAGAATACTGCAGTGGGTAGACTATCCCTTCTCCAGGGGATCTTCCTGAATCAGGAATCAACCTGGAGTCTCCCGTACTGCAGGCAGATTCTTCACCAGCTGAACTACCAGGCAAGCCCTATATATGGCCACAATCAATCTGCAAATAGACAGTGTTGCTTCTTCCTTTCTAGTTGGTGTGCCTTTTAATTTTTTCTTGCCTAATTACTCTGCTAGAATTTCTGGCATGCTGTGGAAAAGAAGTGGCAAGAGTACATCCTTACCTTGTTCATAATTTTAGTGATGGTAGCCTTCAATTTTTCAGCATTAAGTAATGTTAGCTTGTTTTTCATACATGTCTATTCGGTTGAAGAGATCCTCTTCTATTCCCGTTTTTTGGTTTTTGTTTTTTTTAGCATGAACGGGTGTTTGTTGGATTCTCCTACATCTCTATTGAGGTGATCGTGCATTTTTATCTTTTACTTATACTGTTAATACTGCATAGTACATTGACTCCCATGTTACACTGACCTTGCACCTGGAACTAATCCCCTTAATTGTAGTATATAATTGTTTAATGTGTTGCTAGATCCCATTTGCTAGTATTTTGTTAAGGATTTTGTGTCAGTATTCACAAAGGATATTGGTCTGTAGTTTTCTTGTGGTGCCTTTTCTGGCTTTGCTTATACTAAAATCAAATGCTGGCCTCATGGAATATGTTAGGGTGTGCTCCCTCGTCTTCTGTTTTTTGCGAAGAATTTGATTAACAATTACTGTTACTCTTCAAACATTTTCGCCAGTGAAGATATCTGGCCCTAGACTTTTTTAAAACCAGCAGTGTTGTATTGCTAAGTCTCTTTGCTAAAGGTCTATTCGGATTTTCTTTTTCTTCTTGAATCAGTTTTTCTAGATATTTTTCCACTTCATCTATATTATCTGTTGACATATTAATTTGTAGTTTGTCATTTTTATTTCTGTACAGCATTAATGTCCCTTATTTTGTACCTGGTTTTAGTAACCTGTGCCTTTTTTTCCTCCTTGATCCAGCTAAAGGGTAGTCAATTCTTTTGTCTTTTCAAAGAAACAACTTTTCATACTTGCATTTTATGTTTTTACATATATAAACACCTCTCTACACATGATGCTGAATGGTCAGCACACCCAATAACTGAAATAACATTATTATTCTTAACATAATGAGCAGGGAGCACTCTTAGAAACTTCTTACATATGTCCTTAAACACCTGTCTGTCTGCATGCATTACACAAGTCAGCCAAACAGTCTCAGATATAGTTTCAACACACTGTGTTAAGAAATCACTTTTGAAACATCCTTTTTTACATATGCACTCAAACACATCTATACATGCATTCATGCATTAGATTCCCTCTTAGTCCTAGGCTTTTTTTTTTTTTTTTTTGATAATTTGATTGCATGATGTACTTTTGTATTTCTTTGAATTTATCCTACATAGAATCTGGTGAATTTCTTGAGTGTGTATATTAAAGTTTTCATCAAATTTGTAAAGTTTCCTGCCAATATTTCTTCAAATATTCTTTTCAGCCTCCCCTCACCTTTTTTTCTGAGATTCCCATTGTCTGAATATTGTTGACAATATTCAAAATCTCTGAGTTTCTTTGCATTTTCTTTCAATTCATTTCATTCTTTCCTTTCTGTTCCTCAGACGAAATAATTTCAGTTGACCTATCTTCAAGTTTGCTGACACCTTTTTCTATCTGCTCAAATCTGATGAACTCCAATAGTGAAATTTTAATTTCAGTTATTATACTTTTCAACTCCAGAATTTTCTTTTTATAATTTTCATCAAACTATAACTTTATCATTTTTATGATTATAAACATAACCATAAAAACCTCCTTTTGGAAATTTCTTCCTCTTTCTGGATATTCTCTATTTGGTAAGATATAAATTCTACTGAATTCCAACTTTACCCCAGGCCCTGTACTAAACAATTTCTTTTAATCTTTTTAAAAATTGTGAAATATATAAAGAGTTCATATTTAATTTTAGAAAATAAAAAAATGAGCACACATGTACCAATAATCAAGCACAAGAACAGAACATTAGTAACCTCTAAAGATCCTGTGAGGTAATCTTGAAGTCTGCATTAATCCTTTCCCATATTTCCTTAGAGCTTTACCACATACATATCCATGAATAATGTGCAAATTTGCCTTATCTTTTATTTAAAAATTCTATAAATAGACTCATACTACTCTGTGATTGTTCTGTTCAACATTATGTATTTGGAAATTGTTTCATTTTTCACTACTGCAGAGTATTCCACTGAATGGATGGATCTAAGGATGTGAGCTAACAGTAGTCAGAGAAAGTTGAGCTATGCTGAGATAATAAAAAAATACTCCTAAGAGGGGTAAAAACTGAGGATCAAGCCCTGGAGTATGCCAACTATTAAAGATCACAAAGACACAAGAGAAGGTTTGGGGAGTGAAGTGAACGGAAAACTAGCAGAAAGTTGTGCTGTGAAAGGCTGGAGAGCACAGTATTTTTGACAAAACTGTGTGGAATGCTATTGCAAGTTTCATAAAGGAAGGAATGAGCAGACTCCACTGATGTGACAACACATAGAGCTATGGGATCTCATCACGACTGGCTGCGTTGCAGTGGTGTGGGGATGCTGAAGCCAGCCATTCAGGGATAACTGAGGCCACAATGGCAGCAGAAATGTTAAGACTACATGCACAAATGACCGTAAGACGCAGCAGGAAATGGAGGCATTAGGATCCGGGAAGTGGCAAATTTTAAAAAGTATCATCGACACTAGAGCACTGTGTATGCTGTCAAGAATAATCCTACAGAGAAGTCACAAGTTGCTGAAGCAAAATAAAGGGTTAACTCGAGAGAGAATGGGGAGAGAATGGAACCCAGAGTCCAGAGGAAGAGAACTGCCTGTCACAGGAGGAGGACGCTGTCTCCAACACAAAAGGAACAAAGACAAAGATGATGAATACAATTAGGAGGGTAGAAAAACGAGGGAGATAAATCTGACAGCTTCCATCTCAATGAATCATGAAGGTCATTAACTAAGTGAGGGTGAAGAGTCATCTTGAAAAGTAGGGAGCTGAGTTCACCTGAGACAGAAAAGGACTACTCAAAGCAACACCGAGTATCATTTGAAACTGCGCTCATGAATTTAAGCAGTCAGTCAGTCTACTGGGCATGATTTTTCTCAGGTAACATTCACTGGCCCAAGTACAAGCACAGAAAAAGCCTTCCATCAGAGAAGGCTTTGGTCAGGCAAGTAACTTCTCTCTCTAAAGGGAAGGCTGACCGGCATCACCTAAGGTTATACTTACGCCACCTCAAAACAGTTCAAAATGTAAACTATGAAGTAAACAGCTAATACAGTATTAAGCTAATGAACTAACATTTGCAGTCTTTTATTTTAACTAAGTTCTCAAGATCACATTGACACCACATCGTGATCATCCATCTTCCACTGGTTATATCAATTTGGCCCTGTATCATACTTTCCTTCCCATTAGTCTATTTTCTAAAAACACACTGATGAGATGTATAAAAATACTGCAATGATCGCTGTTCTAAAAACAGTTTAGTATTTTATTTGAAAAAATTAGGTAAAAAGATAAATATACTTTTACTTCCCCTAGAAAACAAAGGAATTCACTAATGGTAAGCAAGCAATCTTTTCTCACAAAAGATACAAATTATATAAAATTTAAGCTCTTGTCTTACATCATACTTTATTTTCTTTAATATATCACATTTATTGAAGGAAAAAGATTAAAATACAGATTAAACACCGAAAGAGATGATATGTAACCAATTACTCTTGCTCCAAAAAAATCATATTAATACAATTGTAAATTTCAGATAGAACAGGCCCTGTTCTGACAATACTAATTTGTTATATATTCTGTATTTGCCAAATAAATATTATCTTACTACTTTTCAAAATATTTTAACCTCACCAAGGTTTTCCTTATACCTCATTTTCTCATTTTTAATTTGGGGACACACCTCTTTTTATAGATCTACCAGAAATTAAGATTTTGCTAATAAGAATTGTCCTCAACATCTTACCAACAAACACATTTAGATTTGCTCAAAAAAAAAAAACCTGATTTTGAATCTCATTTTTGGTCAAGTTTCAAAGTCAGAGCCCAAACAATTCTTTGCAAGGGGCCATCATAAGGATAGACATACCATCAATTAGAAGTTGCCACTTTGGCATTTTCCCTCCAGAGATAGAATACATCACTTTTTCATTGGTTTAAACACCAGACAAAATGAGCAGACAGTTGAATTTAAGAGTCCACAAGTACAACAAACACCTTCCTTTAAACACTAGGCTGACATGCAGCACAGGATGTCTGTCTACACACCTCACACCTACACCCTAGCCAAAGTGCTGAACTTCACCTTGAACTCAATCCAGGGCAGACACAGAGTGGAAGCCACCTTTAAATGACTGCTCTCTGTTTTTGCTGAATGTATATTTCTGCTCCTCCACTTAAGCATACCTACTCACAATATCTAATAAGGAAGCAAATGAATCTTTAAGTAAAGAGATGTTTATTAATATTAGGTCTTATCTTCAAACTATTCTTTAGATAATTTTTAATGTACAGTTAAACTTAGAACTAATCTTGTTTAAAAAAAAAAAATCCCTGAAACCTCATTCTACTCTTTTTCCACATATCTGTATTCCAGAATTGAGGGGAAATGGCAGAGCTAGAGATAGGGTTAGCAAAGAATAGAGTCCTTCTGTGTGGAGAGCAGATACAGAGCAACTGCTAACAACCCAGGTCAACATGTTACTTACTTGCACATTACTGTGGCCAAAGCAATTACTGGGATTCACATTCTTAGGATACAAAGAAAACTGTAACCATCAGATTTCAAAGTAAAGATCAACAGACTAAAAACCAAGAAAAGCTTCAGGGTTTTAGGAGTGCAGTATTCTACCACACTCAAAGACGATGATCAGGAGAGAAGCGTCTGCACTTGCTGTGGCGATCGGTGTAGAATGCTCCCGGGATCTTTGTACTCATTGCCCGGATTCATCACAGCTGCATACACTTCCCCGTAGGCTCTGCAGACTAATTCTGTAGACTGTTTTATGATCTGCTCTCTATTGACAAACAAACAGATGTGTGTTAACATGCAATCTGAAAACAAAAGACTAAGCAGTCTAAGAAAGTTCCATACTTGAACTAACATATTTCATAATTATCACATATTATTAAAAATCATTGTACAACTACACAAGTTATCTTGGTTTGGGGATAAAAGTTTTTTTTAATATTATTTATGAAATTTCCTCCACTAGTATGTAGGTTGCAGAAGGGCAGGGGCTGTGTTTTGTTCACTCTGTAGAACCGTGATCGTTAGGATGGAACACTGCCTAATATATTATGAATTACTAAATAAGAAATAGAAACTGCATCCCACCATCAGTGCACTGATTTTGCAAATGCAACTGACAACACATTAACCATAAAGAGGCTTACAACCATTCAAATGTATTAACCCTTCAAATCTCAGAATCACTTACAATATACAGCCCTTTCACCTACAGCTCCTATACTAATAATCACATCTCCTCGATTTTTCATCTCTCCAACAAAGGTGACACTTGTCTGCAACAAATCACAGCATTTTCACAAATACACATTCCTATACAAGCACATAAAAGAAGAGAAATAGTTTTAAATAAACTGAAGTAAATGTCTTTAGAAAAAACAGCATTGGGTTCTTTAAATCTGCATTTAATAGTTTAATAGTTTTCATGGCATTTGGTACATCAACTCCAACTATTTCTACTCCAATATCACTATACCTAGTGATGAAAACAGGCTTCCCAGGTGGTTCAGTGGTGAATAAACCACCTGCCAATGCCAGAGATGTGGGAGACACAGGTCCGATCCCTGGGATGGGCAGGTTCCCTGGAGGAGGAAATGGCAGCCCACTCCAGCATTCCTGCCTGGAGAATTCCATGGACACGAGCCTGGCGGGCTGCAGTCCACGGGGTAAAACAAGAGCCAGACAACCGAGCACACAGCACTGACTAAAACCACTCTGACTTTCACAGTAACTAAGCTAAGAACGTGTCTTTAAAGCTTTACTCTCAGACCTACTTCTGCTTCCTATCTCTGTCAGTGTCATAACTGTGTGCCATCACTTCAGTTCAGACCGTAATGAACTCCTACTGGGAGGAGAAAGCAAAATCCCATCAGTCCTTCTCCAGCCAGTCTCCTCCACCTTTCGAGTAGCTTAAGCACTGTGAGACTAATCTTTCTAAAGCATAAGTTTTATCATGTCTCCCCCTTACCCAGGACCCTTCAAGGCGATTCAATGTCTTCTTCCAATTTCAGAGAAGTCAGAACTCCTTACCCTCTCACTCAAAATCTTTTATAACGCCTTTGGCATCATTACTCTAATTCTGCAGTCCAGCTCAACCCCTGACTGGCCTATCTGCCCTGCTCTCCCTGACCTCAGGTCCTTCGCTCCCTCACATACCTCCATTAGCCTGCAATGTCTCTCTCATCCACCTTTCAATGCTCTTTCATTCTCAGGAAATATGGACTCCCTCATCCACGAAGCCTTCCCTGTCCTTCAGGGCTAGAAATAGCCACTTCTTAGAACATTCATGACCGAAATTACACCTCTGTAAGATTATCTGTGGAAATATGGGGATCAGTGGTCTAAAGAAGAATAAAACTGGTTGAATGGAATGAGGAAGGGAGTCTCACTTATGGTCTTGGGTCATCGCACATTGTTCTGATGGGGTCTCAAACTCTTGATTTGAGCAACAGTGATTTTCAGGAACAACCCAACATTTTCCTAAAGCTTCCAGAATGAGACTGGGTAGAAGGCAGATACGCTGAGTTTTTCTGAGCAGAGTGGGAGTAATGCTATTGGCTGTACTACCTTTTTGTTGGAAGGGAGGATGGTAGAAACTGATCTGGTAATCTACCAGATGAGGCTTGGAGATTTTTTTTTTTTAATCTGCTGATTAGCAATCGTTCCTGTAACTAACTTAGCATAACAATAGATGAATCAAAATGACACAACAATCATTTTCCATAAATGACATAGCTGAAAAATATTATAATTAGCATTTAAAAAATCTGTTAACTATAATATTTGACACTCATTTGCAATAAATAATAAGTTTTAGATATAGCACTTCTAGTTCTCTACTAAAAGCAGTAAGAATTTTTATTTGCATTGTTTTAATATTTTATTGGAGTACAGCTGATTTACAATGTTGTACAAATCTCTGCGGTACAGCAGACTGACTCAGTTTTACACATACATACATTCTTTTTTCAATATTCTTTTCTATCATGGTTTATCCCAGTGGATTGGAGATAGTTCCCTGTGCTATACAGTAGGACCTTGTTTATCCATTCTAAATGAAACAGCTTGCATCAATCAACTCCAAATTCCCAATCCATCCTTCTTCCTCCCCTACTAAAAGCAGGAAGATATCTGGAGGTTTACGAAATACTACTCACACCTCATGCTCTCAGATCTGCGCTCAGTGTGAACACAGTGTGTGCTTCTGCTACATGTGAAACATGCAAACAAGGCTATTCCTTCTTACAATAAGTTTAACATCAGAATAAGGCACAAAAATGAATATTAAACACATTTTTTAAAAATCCAGAGTTAATAACTGGTAAATGTAAATAAATTACTGAAAATTCTGAAATAATCAATTTAAAATTTTAATTTCAAATCCATGCAATGAAAATTTTTAACATTACTAAAGTTTAGTTGTAACTCAGGGCACATTTCTACTTATAAGCCAGAACTCACAAGACAGCTGAAAATCATTATAAATCTGCAACACAGAAAAGCAGAATAAAGCAACACTGCTAAGACAAATAATTAAATAAAATCAAGCCCATAAGAACAAGTAAGAGTTTGTAATTCATTTTAAATGTTTGTATTTGATGGTATAGGGCTTCCCCATTCCACTCCCCAGTTTAAGAAGCCCCCAAGACAAGGGAGGCATCGAAAAATGAACCTGGCTGTGCTGAACGAGACAAGAGATACAGAAGCCTGTGGACAAAAAGTCTTTCACAGAGCGGAAAGGAAAAAGGGAAGGGAAGAGAAGTGGTCTTCCTGGCCTAACAGATAGTTGTTAAAGTCAACAGGATAGAAATGCAACGGAAATGGAGATTCTCCAAGTGAATCCGAGTCAAATCCAAACTGTAAAGAGCAAGAACTGCGACTAATAGTGATTCCATATTTCTGGACAAACGTTAGAAGTTCATTTAATTCCCAAGCCAGGTACAGGTCCATATGCTCATATTCATTTATGTTTTCCTAATGAGTTATACATGGCAGAGGTAAAATGGTACAGTGAAGGACATTACTGTCCAAAGATCTTGACTCTAGCTCCAGTTCCGCTACTTACCGCTGCCTTGAACAAGTAATTAAACCTTTCCAAGGCTAATTCCAATATCATAAAACAAAATACTGACCTTGATAACATTTACTAGCTACTTTCAGCTTTAAAACTGTATCATTTCATTGAGCTAAGAGCTTTTTAATGAACTGCTGTTAAAAAACCTATATATGCTTATTCATACACATACACACACATAAATGCATCCACATACATCACTTTGTGGAACTGGGTTCCCTGAGTAATGAAACGTTATCAGTGACTTGTACATAAATGGGCAGTGTTTCTAAAGTAATAAACCAATTTTCTTGCCATTTTACTATCTCCTACTTTCATTTTTAATGCTAATTACTATGTAAGTTCACCCTTTATGTTAAAAAGTTATCACATATATCTTATGTGTCTGCCTTCTGCCTGCCTGGTGTCTTGGTCCAAATTATTCACTAATATTATATGTGAAATATGAAGGTCAAATAATGATGAATCATTATAGTGAAAAAATCAGTGTCCAAAGTGAAAATCTTCAAAAACTGTATAAATACAAAATGAGCAACAAATCATCTCAGTCTAGTCATGTGCTTCTGAAAACATGGAATATCCTTTTCTACTGATCTTTTCAAGTACAGGTAAAGAAAAGCAGTACTTTTTTTTTTTTTCCAGTCATGTATGCTATTTTCTAGCATGGGTACCCACCTCAGATTTTACTTTCTGTATTTTGTTCAATCACAGCCAATCACATACCTGATGGATGTAATACTTTTAGAACTGTTTCTCCATGTTAAAATTCTAAAGATAAATCCTGCTTTTCACATGACCAACAACAGATACGCAAAAGGCCATTTAAAAGGAAAAAGCTTTTGAATGTAAGTCAAGATTCATCTATAAAGTCAGATCATTAACTTTCTTGGTCTCTTTACATGTCTTTACATGACATTCTCACTGTAATTTCAAAAAATTTAAAACATGACATACAAATAATTCATTAACATAGGAAATTATTAAGATGGTAAAATTGATTCACAAAATGTTTTGAGGAACTGGTCATTTACAGGCATTTGAGAAGAAGATGAGAATAAATCAGGTTACATATAAAATGAACTAACATCTCCCAGAGGAGGAAAGTTTCATCTCGGAACCTTTTAATCAATAGTAAACAGAAAATCAAACAAGGGTACATTCCCCTAACTAATTTTTGATGGGTCTGTTAACAATGTTTCAATATGACATGAAAAAGATATGCTGGTCTCCCAGAATCAACACACCTTATTTCCATGGTTTGGAAAGTCTTCTTACTTTTGCAAAGTACAGTTGCTGTTTTTTTTCCCCCCTGTATAGTTTGCTATTCTAGCATATCAGTATCAAAGATAATAATCATGTAGCTAACGTGCTATGAGAAAAAATAAGAAATAAAGGAGATGAGCTTGTTACACAATTTCACAGAAGTGCAACGTATTTTAGTTATCTATCCGTGAGAATACCAAACATTAAGAAATTATTTTTGTCCAGTTATAAATGTCATAGTATCATAAAACTACAGTTATAAATTCTGACAATACTAATAAACATTATTGTATAACTAAATGGAGATACCATTCTTGTTTTAAAATATGTTTGCTGAAATTACCTTACGTATAACTAAATAATTATTTAAAGTACTGAGCCATGATAAGAAATCGAACTGGTAACTTTCAGAATCAGTGAGCTTGTCATTA